GACAACATCTACTCACCTTACCATTTCCTACAACATGGGAGCTGCATCAACTCCATCTTTTACCATCGTCTCTGCCCTTCATACACTTCAGCCATGCTCATCCATGTTCCTAGTCAAGAGAAACCTTGATCCTACCTCAGGACATTTGCCCTTACTGTTCTTTCCAGGATGCTGCCCTGGTTGATTTTGTACGCCTGACTTAGCATAAGAATGTCACACGCTCAGAAAAACCTTCCTCAGCTACCACCTCCAATCAATTACATTACATCATTTCAATTCTCCAGAGCACTTATTTTCAGTTAGCATTATCAGATTTGTTTTATTTCCCTCTAATAGAGTATTCCCTGCTTATCTTGTTTATCACTGTATCTCAGAGTAGACTCAGTGCCTAACACATACACAGTAGATGGTCAGCATACATTTATGGAATGAATAAATAAATTTAATATCTTCTGTTTAAAACTCGTGTGTCATCCAAACGCATCCAGACATTACTATTATGCTCATTCTATAATCAAGAAAATGGGTCTAGGGGCCGGGGATATTGTTCAGCAGCATAAGCACCTGCCTGGCAAGCACAAGGTCCTGAGTTCAATTCCCTGTACCAAAAAATAAAAAGAAAATAGGGTCTCCATAACTACTTATGTAGTTTGTCATAGCTGCATAACAAACCACCTCAGACTGCCTTAACTTAAAACAAGGGTGTGTCCTCAGTTCTATGGGCTGGGCTCGTCTCAGCGCACTTGTGTGAAAATCTAGCTAGCAGGGCGGCTGTGACAGCTAGGATAGCCAAGCATCTCTCACCAAGTGATCTTTCATCCCAGGCATCTGCACAGTGTGGTAGTCCCAGTTCCGAGAGGGGGAAAACTCAGACTGCAAGGTCTCTGGAGGCCTGAGTAGCAGACCCACACATCATTTCTGCTGAATTCTCCTGGTCACTCCAAGCTACCACTCCTGACCCAGATTCAAGAGGTGAGACACAGACTATCTCTTCAGCTGCCCCAATGCTGAACTGTCATGGCCATCTTGGAAAACCCATGATGACCAGTGCTGGAACCAACCTGACTGAGCCTATAACTCAATAAGGCAGGTCAAGGGCCGTGTCACCCAGCAGCAAAACTTTCCATCACATGTCCACTGGGGGCTGACTGGGCATTTGAGGCTTGGATCTGAGACCGTAATCAAGGAACAAGCTCTCCTCCCTGGAACATTGCCTGAATTACCTTATAGGCAGAAGGGGAAAGAATATAATCCCAAAGCCTCTGCCGAGAAGGGACACAAATCATGTGCACCAAAACATCCATAGCCAGACATACCATCGATTTGGCATCTTCTAACAAGTGGGCCACTAAATTTACATAGATGGTGAGCCCACCCATCACAGAGGTTATTTTCCTCTTCAGTCCCTTTTGAAAATGGTGTTTTTAAAATTAAATTATCTTATTCTACCTCTACCATGAATCCAAGAGTTGCTTTCTCTCATCTGTTCTCTCTGCCTCCCCTTCCTAGGCTTTCCAGCCGCCCCTGTCTAGGGTCCTGCAGTAGCCCTCCCGCTGGCCACAGGTCCAAGCCATGTGTGTCCTCAACACCTCCCAAGATATGATTCCTGCCGCCCCTACAGCTTGTCTCTGCACATTCTGTTCCTAGAACCTCAGTCCACAGCCCTGCTGAATGGGCAGCAAGCACTTCCTGAGTGCCGTGGCCCTTCCAGATCTTGGTGCCTGGTTCTGGGCCATTTCTGCTTGCATGAAGAATGCTTCCTTTCTTCCCCACCTGGGGAAATGTTACTTTCCTGTGATGATTTGCCTATCAAGTGTAGCTGTTCCTCAGTATCTGTGGGGGATTGGTCCCATACCAAAACCCCAGGATGCTCAAAGCCTTTCTACAAAATGACATAGTATTTGCATATAATCTATACAATTCCCCCACATATTTTAAATCATTTCTACATTACTTTAATACCTAATCCTATGTAAATGTGGTATAAATGGTTTTACTATATTGTTTATGTTCCCTGGGGGCTGGTTGGGGATTTGGGACGTCACAAGGGAAAATGTTTGTAAGTGTCTAAGACAGAGAGATGCCCTTATTTTCAATCTGTTGCTGACTGAATCCTCAGATGCAGACACTGCAGATATGGGAATCCAATTGTAATAGCCTTTCTGAAGACAATTCTCTTTTTCCCTTCAGACAATTAACTTTTTAATTTTCTAAACTTCTTAATTATAGCACTTACTCATTTACTCAGTCAAGTAACATTTATTGAGCATCTCCTAAGTGCCAGCTATTGTTTTAGGCTCTGCAAAGACATGGCAAAAACCACACAAGGCGAGACTGAAAACTACAATGAATGCACAATATTTTAAAGGTTTATTACAATGAAAAGCTCATTTCCATTTATCCCCCTTCAAAATAGTTACCCTTCACTATGAACATGCTTATCCCATCGTTCTTGCCACTTGCTGAAGCAGTTCTGAAAATCCTCTTTCGTGAATGTCTTTTGCAGTACTGTCTTGGCTGCCTCAATGTCCTGAATCTATTAAAGTCGCTTACCATCCCTGGTCTTTTGATGGTGGGGAAGAGATAAAAGTTCTGATCAATAAAGCAGAGGAGGAGATACTATAAAATAGTTTTAATGAGACAGCCTTTCTGCTGGGTGGTACTTGGCAGCAGAATTCACCATATTTTTTTGTCACACCTCATGAAGACACACACAAAAGAATCATTTCAGACTGAGTCAGGAACAAGGGGGTGTGTGGCTCAAAGTTAGGGGTGATTTCAGGAGGATTAATGTCAATGTGTCTTCTACTGTATAGAAAAATGGAAACATTCACCCTATATTTTTGTCACTTCTCATAGACAAGGCCCCTGTATTCTAGCGAGGTAAACCAGAAAGCATGCAAACAGATGAATAAACAAGATAACTTTGGACAACGATAAATGCGCGCATTGTGAAGAAAGGCGGCTGTGAAAAATACTGTGGTGCACCATATTTGACTTTATTCTCTTCCAAAAAAAAAAGTAATAAGAACTAAGGAGTAATAAAACCCAAAATGTGTAAATTTTGTTGTAAAAAAGAGAGGGAAAAAAAGTGCACCAAAGGATACAACTGCAAGTGTGTTTAGGGGTGTTAAATAGCTGACCATATTAATGTTTTTGGTTGGATCATTGAACACAGCTGTTTGCAGTCTCACTGTTTGAATGTCCACTTTGTATGCTTTGATACTGTGACTTGAGCAACTATCTCTAAGATGATAATGTGTAATCCATTAACTGGTGATTTCTTACTTTTTTTTTTTTTTTTTTTTTGTAGTTCTGTATTACTTGTACCCTTACACCGCTTTGTTTTGTTTTGTTTTTTCTCTTTTTCCTTTTAAATAAAATTTAAAAAAAAAAATACTGTGACGCAAAGGTGGCTGCTTTAGATGAGCTGGTTAGAGGTGGCCTCTCGGAGGAGGCGAGGCCCAGGCAGCATAGCAAAAGTTAAGGAAGAACGGTTCCAGCAGAGGGGCCACCTGGTGTGAATGGCCTGTGGTACACAACAGGAACAGGGAGGAAGCTATTGTGATTGAGACCCATCGAGGTAGACAGGGATTGGTGAAAGATGAGGCTGGAGAAACGGACCTTGCCAATCATGAGGCCTTCTGAGCAGTCACAGCTAACAAGAAATCTTGAGAGGTTACAAGAAAGGGAGGGACTGGGAGGCGCGGTTTGATTCACAGTTTTTAGAGTGCGCCTGTAAATTGCAGGTGAACAAGTGAGATGTCCCGAAGACCACCTTGGAGGCTCTCGTATTTATTCCCAGATGATGGTGACATGGCCACACAACAGATAGCGTCACTGGAAACAGACAGCAAGAGCGCAGAACTGAGCCCTAGCACCAGGCAGTAGAGACAGGGGCTTACAAAGTGGATCAACGAGTGGGAATATATGTTTCAAATTTATGTCCTGCCCGACCTTCTTGCAAAAGCTTTTTCCTTCTTCTCCAGCCTTTCGCAGAAATCCCCTCCATGTAACATGTTCCCCAAGCCCCCGGGAGCCCCCCTCTGAACCTCTGTCTCCCTTTTGATGGCTGGCAGGATGCCCCAGTCGGCACAGTGCTCTGCCCAGCCAAGCACTGACTGAGATCTGAGCAGGCCGCACAGGGGCCCAGACATCCTGACTTTTAGAAGAGGTTTCTCGCCTGAGCTTCCACTTTCTCATCTGGAAGGTGGGAGTTATTTTCCCTATCCAAAAGTTTCTTTTCTCAGGGCCCACTTCCTTTCTATGCCAGCTGCAGCCACCGCCCCCCTATCCTTCCTCCTCCTTCGACTAGAACAAATCCGCCCCAGAATTTTTAAATTTTTAAAAAGTTTTTTTCTTTAATTAATAACTCCTAGACTAATTCATTTCTACATGCCCTTTATCCTCAGGCTTTCTGTTTTCAGGTTTCCAAATTTTATTTCTCAGAATTAACCAGGTCCAGCGGCTGAGTCCTGGGCATTCTCGGTGAGATACCACCTATGACTGGGTCTAGTGCCCTTGACCCTCAGGGCAGGCCAGAGGCCAGCCTGGGTCACAGCTGGGGTGCTCTCCACGCAGCCAATGTCTCAGTGGACACTGAGTCTGAGGGGAAAGGCGTCAGAAAAAGGAAAGGAGCTTGTGGGAGAGAATGAAGGAGATGGAGAGTGGGGAGAGTGTGTGGGTGCATGTGCGTGGGAGAAGGAGAGAGCAGAGAGAGGGAGGGAGAGAAAGGAGGGAGGAAGGGAGGAGAGAGAGAGAGAGAGAGAGAGAGAGAGAGAGAGAGAGAGAGAGAGAGAGAGAGAGAGAGAGACAGCGCTGGAGAGAAGGAGCAGCGGCAAGCTAGGAGGAGCAGCGAGTGGGGGCGGAGACGAGGAAGTGGGTGCTAGGCGCGGGCTGTGCGCGCAGCTCGCTCCATCCCTGCCCGGGGCGCAGCAGGCTCGGGCGCGGGGCCACTGCCCGCGCAGCAGCAGCAGCACCAGGTAACGCGGCCGCAGCTTCCCTCTGGGCCTCGGCCCGGGTGGGGTCGTGGGTGGGCGGGCGCTGCCTCCGCTTCCTGCCCCTGGATCCTGTGGCCGTTGTGGCCCCGTCCCCAGTTGCAGCTGGGGCCCCACTGCTTGCTCCTGGCGTCTGACCTTTGAGCGAGCGCCTCGCCTGTAAGCCTCAGTTTCCTTCTTTGCGACCCTCGCGGATTCTGCCCGCCCCAAGGGGGCGTTGCGATCAAGGAAAGCAGCCTGAGCCCGCGCCGGTGCAAGAGATGTGAGGTGCGCCTTTAGATTCCCTGTGCCCGCAAGGTAGGTGTGGAAAGTCCACTGGCGCCCGAACATTCCCTGCTTTGTCCCTGGTCTGTGTGGTGGCATTTTCTGAGATGCTTCTGCGGAGCGCAGAGGGACTCTGCTTTAGGAATGAATGCCAGTCGAAGGCCTGGGGCTGGTGGAGAGAGGTCTTCTAGGTTTTCAAGCTGCTGCCTTATGCCCAGGAGCAAGAACCAAGCACACCTGGGGGACTTGGGGACAAGGATTCCCCAGCAGGGTGAGTGGGGCAGGTGGCCTCAACTCTGAATCCCACCTGGGTTGTTTGACCTTGAATCTTCTCCCGTTCAGGTAGGTTGTGAGGATAAGGGGGCGGGAAGGAAGGTGCCTGTGAGGTGTCCCACCCTAACTTGGGTGGCCTGAGACTCTGACCCATAACTGTTTCCTAGGAACTCATTTGTAGCGTCAGGTCCCTTCAGTCTCCCTTCCTGGAAATGGACCATGGGAAGGGTGAGCGGTCAGGGTGGAGGGGACAGCAAACACGAAGCAGGGCCTGGGGGTTTAGCATCCTGATACCCACCCTGGATGTACACCCTCGGGCTGAGGCTTCTCTAAGATATGACATCTTTCTGGGAGCAGTTTCTGTCAAACCTCAGTTTTCTTATTTGTAAGAGGAAGTTATTAATTCCTGCCTACTGGTGAATTCCGGGTCTCTAAAGGTTATAAAAAGTAATTGAATAGATTACATTTCTTGATACTGCTTATCTTGGGATAGAAGGAGAATTTGAAATAATGAAAAAGTAACCTTTCTGGAGTAGATGTTCTGTGCTGGCCTGGTACTAGATTCATTATGTATACAGTGGTGGCTACAGTCATGGCAGCAATCCTGGGGAGCTAGTGCTATTCAATCCCAATTTACAGATGCGGAAACCAAAGTAAGTGACTTCCACATGGTAGGAAATGCCTGCTGTAGGATGAGACCAAGGCCTGCCGTGATTCTGGAGTGCTTCTGACACTACCTTACCCATCTCAAAATATGGCTAAGTAAAATGCATAGATTGGTGCCTGGTACCTGCCATGTGGCCTGATCAGCATTGGTTTTGGGGCCATGTATAATTTCTACATAATCACTGGGGAAGTGAACCCACAGATTGGCAGTGGGATGTGGGTACCTTTGCCAAGCAGTTTCTCTAGGGGTCTGTAAGGAGGAAGGAAAGTTACTACTTACTACCACACAGGAAGCTGAGAGCTGGCTGATTTACCCCAGCCCAGCCAGCCAGCTCCTCCATCATCCTGTCCTGGCTAATCTCTTTGTTAGTCCCAGCTTTCACTGATTCTCCTGGATTTACTGGCGGGAACTTTTCTCTCTCTGTCCTAGGTTGATGACTCATTAAACTGACCCTCCCTCTTGACATATCCAAGTGGAAACAAGGCCAGCTGTGGTCCTTTTCCACCAATAGCTCAAGAAGGAAAAATAAGATTAAGGTCCATTCCTAAGAATTTAGTTCATCCTTGGAAAAGAAATCCCTAATGATGGGGAAGAAGCCTTCTCGGAAAGCCAGAAAGGTTCTTTTGCCAAAAATGTTTTAAAAGGAGAGTACATCTGTATGAAATGACAGGAATATAAACAAGACTGCTCTCAATGGCCAAGATACTCATCCACAGGCAGCACCTAAAGATCCAACAGTAGGGACAGCCATGTGGCTATGGGAAAGGGGAGGCTTTTCATGAAAGTGAGCGTTTCATGTGCATTTGCATATATATGGCATGGTCCCAAATTTGTGACAAGGGCTTAGGAAAAAAGACAGGGCAGAAATAGGCTAGAGAAGGTTAAGAAGGTCGCCTGTAGATGTTAGGATTATGGTAGACATGTTCCCTGGGCTGGAATGGGATGGAATGAGCTGGGATGGAATGGGATGGAATGGGATGGGATGGGATGGTTCCTAGTGCTGTGGTCTTGCTGACAGAAGGGAGACAGGCAAGGTACGTGTGGCTCAAGAGACTGAACTAGCTCTAAAAGTAGTGTTTGCCAGATTGAATTTTTCACCATTTTCTTGTCTTCTGTCTTGTCCCCTCCAATTCTGATCCATCCTTTATCTCACTGTCAGTTTGATAGTGCAGATCTGAGAATGTTTCTCCCCTCTCAAAACCATTCCTACATGAGTTAAGTTCAGAGTCCTTAGACTGGATTTAGGCATGTGCGGCTCATCAGGCCTGGTCTCTGTCCTTTCCCATCTGCAGTTATGTCACCCTACCAAGTGTCCACTGCTCCGTCTACACACATCTAAACCCTGCTGACTGCATTAACATGGTCTTTCTCACCTCTTGGGCTTTGCACTTGCAGATTCCCTTGGCTGCAAGGCCCTCTTCAGCACATCAGTCTTCTTTCTACCCTACTTTCCTCTAAGATTCTACCGAAACCATCTGTTCTGGAGACCCTAAGCTTACAGATTTGCTTCTCCTGCAGGACTCCCTGAAGATGGGAACAACAGAACCCACCTACCCTCCTCTCTCGCACCCAGACAGTGGCACAGGCAGGCCTGTTAGTGATAAGGATACCTCTGTGTTGAGGCCTAGTGGGCCCTTGAGAAAGAAGAAAGGATACTTAACTAGTGAAACAACAATATCTTTAAAGATCTTTTTTTATTTTTGGTACTGAGGATCGAACTCCCAACCTTGCACTTGCCAAGCAGGCACTGTGCCAATGAGCTATATCTGACTTTTGCTGCATTCCTGTGTGCTCACAATTACCCTGTGAGATAGGCACGATCTATGTCCTCTATTTCAGAAGAGAGACCAAGAGTCAGACACATGCAGCGACTTGCTGAGGTCACACAGGATTCAGACCTTGATGGTGGAAATCCGGATCCTATGCTCCTTGCCGGAGTCAGGGAGCGTGGACAGTGCAGCCAGCCACCACCGAGGCCCTGTGAGAAGCACACTGCATTGTGCAGTGCAGAAACGACTGTATGGTGACCCTGAAATGTTAAGCTTTGCCCTGCGTGTTGGGGGCGCCAGTGTACGGGGAGCTCACAGACGCTAGGCCAGTACCGCACAGGAAAAGGCCGGAGATGCTGCTGCACATGCCACAGTCTACCTTGCAGCCCCTTCCTAAAACAGCAAAGAAGGACCCTGTCCGAAATGTCATCAGAAACCCCAGATGAGCACTGAGCACCTCCTATGGTCTGGGGACTCTGTTGGCCATCAGGCCTCCCCCTTCTAAGCTGTCCCCACCAACAACCAGGGTGGTCTTTTTTAAAAAGCAACATAAAATTTACCAATTTACGGTGCTTTTTAGGATCTTTTCAAAGTTGTGCACCCATTGCTACCGTGTAATTTTAGGACATTTTCGTTATCCCAGAAATAAATCCATATACAGTAGCAGTCTCCCCCATTCAGCTCCCACACCTCCCATTCATCATTGTACTTCCTATCTCTGTCTATTTTCCTACTCTCGACATTTCATATAAATGGAGTCATGCAGTGTATGGTCTTTGTGATTGTCTTCTTTTACTTAGCATAGTTTTCAGGATGCGCCCATGTTGTATCATGTATCAATACCGCATGTCTTTTTAAGGCTAAAAAATATTCTATTGTGTGATGAATTCTGTACCATATTTTATTTATCCATCCATGAATTGGTGAGCATTTAAGTTGTTTGTATTTGGGGACTATGATGGATAATATTGCCTGATCACCTGCGTACGGGCCTTTCTAGGGAGCTAATCCATTCAGTTCTGTTGAGTCTATACCTAGGAACAGAACTATGAGGTCATATGGTAATGCTGTGTGTGAACTTTAGAGAAATTGCCAAACTGTGTTCCAAAGCAGTTGCCCCATTCCTACCAGCAGTGTACAAGGGCTCCAGTTTCTCTGTGTTGTCTCTTGGATCACAGCCCTTCTGGTGGGTGTGAAGTGGGTATCGCTGTGGCTTGGATTATTTGCATTTTCCTGCTGGTGAATGAGTTTGGACTCATCCGTGTGCTTGCTGTTTGGTGTCTTCTTTGGAGAATGGCCTACTCGGGGGCAGAGTCATCTGTGCTGTGTGCCTTGCATAAAATGAGGCAATCTCCATACACATCCACAAGGCCCCAGCCATCAGGCACTGCCCTGGCCTTGGCTGCATCTCTGCTCATTGCCTCTCTAGCCTCTGCACTTGCTGCTTCCTGTGCACAGCTGTCCTAGGGCCAGCCTCAGAGCAGCCTTCTCTCAACTTCAAGAGCCACCCCTCAGACCCTCTCTAGCACATCTCAGAGTTTCCTACAGTCACTTCTTCCTTCCTGATAAGATCTTGAAGACCCAGGCTCCAGGTCTGACTACAGCTTTCTCTTACTGTGTGAACCTAGGCAAACCACTTCCTCTCTCTGGGCTTCAGCCAGTCCCTCAGGAAACCATAGGGGGCCAAGGCTGGCCCATCTTAACGGGCCTTTCCAGCTCACCCCTTGTTCAATACTGTGTGACAGCCAGGAGACCATGGGTCTGGGACTGTCACAGTGAGCGGAGAGTGGTCAAAGCTAAGTTGGCCCTGAATGAGATCAAATGTCCCCAGCCCCTTGGGAACAGACCTTGAAGGTAGGGCCTTGGTCAGAGCTCTACTAAGAACTGGAGACTTTGGTTACTTTGAGCTCCAGAATTTCCCACTTGTCCTGGTACAGTAATCTTGTAACCTCCAAAGCCTCTCTGGATATCAGTCGTTTATTTCAGTTATTCAGCAAATACTTATTCCAGTTATTCACCAGATACTTGCTAAATCCTGCCTTTTGTTTAGTCCTGAGCAGTGCGCTAAAAACACAGAGACAGGTGAATTTAACAGCTGCCAAAGGAATTCGGTACAGAGGAGAAGACAGGTATGTAACCAACAGGAGATGCTATATGAGGCGTGCAGCCTTTCAGCTACGTACAGATCTCGCAGACTTGAGCACCCATGACCCATGGCATCACCATCCAAAGAATTGCAGAATGGGTGTGGAGGTGCTACAGGTAGACAGAGAGTGTTTGGGTAGAGCAGGTGGAGAAACAGCATGAGCAGAGACAGTGCAAAC